TCTATGCACATTTATACAACATATATGTTATGTTCCCTAAATCTCAGTTTGATCTCGATTGTTTCTCTCGTATACGTCTGATGCATATTTCCAATTGATCACACTCCATATGTTCTTCAAGTACTCGGCTCTTGCATTCTTGTACTGCAACAATTGATCAAAGTTGATATTAATCAAATGATTCGTCAATATATGTTATACTTTTTGTTCGTTAGCGAGCTATATTATATTAAAATGGATTAAGATGTACCTGAGGATAGTATGCGTGCTCCCATACGTCAATCCCGATTAGAGGAACCAAGTGTGATCCTTTAGTCACCAATGGATCCTACATTTTATTTTATATATATATATCTGTTTATCAAATATTTTGTTTCATTTCTTTTTGTGTCAATTAATTACTAATATACAATATTGAACTACCTGATTGGCTGTGGTCTCGACGACAAGTCTCTTTAGCTCTTTGTCTAATCCAAACCACTAACACAGAGGAAAACATAAACACTATGAAATGTAATTGTATTTAGAGGACAATCATACAAGATATATTTTTTGGTTAACACATCTTGTGGAAATTAATAATAACTTTTTGTTGCTCTTTTTTCGAACAGAGTCCTACATGGCAATACCTGATTCAAATGAAACTGAATTCTAATACTATCCAAAAATGTATAGATGTTTATACTAAAATCAATTATCAATGAATGAACTTATATATACATCTTTCTTATATATTACCTTATATTCCAACTTACTGTTAATTACACTCTCACAAGAAGCTTACCACCCAACCAGATCCTTGCACGGCTGCGCCTTCGGCGTTCATCTTCTGGATCAATCCTTCTAAGGATCCGAAATGAGCATCAATCGCCGAAGACAAAGGATCATGCGGTGGCTTGCCACCTCCTTCCTACCAATTTAATTTACCCATATTAGGAAAAAAAAACGAAAAAATCTCACCACAAATAGAACATGGAGTAACATATTCATACATGAACAGGGGCTAGGTTTTTCCAGAAGATTGCATGGTTAACGTGACCTGCAAGCAAAGTAACAAAAAAACAAAAATCAATCAAATTCCTTATGATCAACAAGCAACAACCAGAGGGTTTAAAGATGGGTTTTGACCTCCGCCGTTGAACTTGATGAGGCTTTGCAGTTTGACGACGGAGGAGTGATCACCGTCGGCCAAGGCGGATCGGAGTTTGCCTAGGGCTTTGTTGTACTGAGTGACGTAAGTCTGGTGGTGTTTCTGATGGTGCAACTGCATGATCTCCTCACTGATCGCTGGCTCTAACGCATCGTAAGCGTAAGGAAGATCAGGTAGCGAAGCGGTCTTCATCGACTCGAGACACGGGTCCATGGTTATGGTTTTTCCTACTCCGGCGTCAATGTTCACCGCGAAAATAGCAATTAGGAAGATGATAGAAACATTAATGATGCTCATGGTTTGATATATATAATATATATAGTTATTATTAACACACTAGAAATGAAGCGAGGAGTAGATTTATACAACAAATATTAAGCCACGTCATCTTTAGACTAATCCACTTGTCGAGCGCTAAGGCTTTTATGGCTTGAGGTGTTGCACACTGGCTCGATTTGTGTCGTAACCTCACGTAACGAACGTTTTTTATGCTTATTGATGATGTTGGTGTGTGTGCTTTTGTCGGTGTGTGTTTTATGGTATGAGAAACGTGTTACGTGTATATATAAAAATCCAACGGTCAGTCAAATAATCCAATCTTTACATGCGAAAGATCAACGCATCTAACTACTATTCAGAATGTGATATATATGTGTTTAACGTCGTCTTTTTCTGTTCATACCTACAAAAATCTCCCCATTACAATCTACAAAATATCCCCAAAAAGTTTAGCTGCTATTACAATCATGTTAAATTCGAACATAACTATAGAGAGATGCCCATAAATATATGATTTTTACACTTAAATCAGACTATCCACCACATATGCACGAAGATTTCTTCTGAACTTAAAGATTATAGTGCTTGAGAAGCCTAATCTTGAAAGAAAAAAAACGGATACAGTCTTCTAAAAATGGAAGAAAGAAAATGTGTTACGGTTAATCAGAAGAGGCCCATAAATCACAGAAACCCCAAAACGAAAGGCCCAATCCATTATAATAAACAGTACACGGTGGAATCTGACGTGGAAGATCGAATGGTCTAGATTTCAAACAACATGGATGACACGTGTTCACCACAACTTAAAACCCTACGCAGCGCGTGCCGGCTCAAGCCATGCACACAGCTAAACCGCGTCACCACGTTCTCCTTACCCATTACCTCCATCTCTTAATCACAACCGTTAGATCAAAATCGAACGGTCACTATCAGATCTCTTTTAGGTTTAATACCAGAAAAATAATCACCTACTTGAGCCACCACAGAACTTTCGAGGAAGCGTGAAGAATAAGTTAAACGCGATTTCTATGCTCTTTAAATCTCAACCGTCCAATCAAACAACTAACAAATTTCATGTTTTAGGAAAAAAATAATAATTCAGTATATAAAATAATAAAATCCATCATTAGCATTGAATTGTGTGTGGCTGAGTCAGTATAACGTATAGAGAAAAGCAACCATTGGGTGATTCGTTTCTTCTTATAAAGAATCAAAGAAATCGTCGTCAATAAGATTATCGAAACCGTGAAGCAATCGTTAATCGTTTAATCTCATCGTCGGATTTGTCTCTTCTCCGATTCAGTCACACA